GCGAGTCTGAACACGTGAAGCATTCGCAACTATCTGACGGGCCGAATACTGTGTGCACTAAATCATGGGCCGAAAGTTCAGCTCCCATCAGTTCTGGGGAGGCGGTGGCAGCGGGACCCGTTTGAAGGCACTCGGCACTCGCCAAGGTCCGCGTCAGCCCCCAGCAGCCTCCAACGAAGGCTGCAGCTCTGCTGGGTCCCCGCGCTCTGCCGGAGCCCCTCCAGCCGGGCCTACAGGTGACAGCTGCTCTCCGGGCTGGGGCCAGCGGAGGGACAGGGCCGGCTGTGTCCCTGCTCGCTGGGTCATGTCAGCCAGGGACAGAGGGGTCGCAGGGGCGGTTGGGGACGGCAATGGCCTCGTCGCCCCGCTCCGAGGGCCCCCGTGGCACAGGTGTCCCGGGGACGCTGAGCAGGGGTAGTCCTGGGCCCGTCCTGCCGCAGCTCCCTGCTGGAGGCGGGGGAGGGGAGGGCGCCCATCTCACGGGGCTCTTGAATGCTTCAAAATGTGCGTTTCGCTGTGCTCCAGCATATCCCCCCATACAGCATAATAATCTTCTTGAAACACAATATAAGTGACTCTTGGGCTGGGCAGGACTGACTCACAGGCCCAGTTTCCTCTATAATCACAGCACTCAAAATAAATAAATAAATAAAAAGTCCACAACACCCTTCCATTTTGAAAGGCAAACCAAACATCTTGGTGCTTGAATGTCTTCCCTCAGTGAAGCTCCATGGCAGGTGACCTGGCAGGGCAGGGCCATCTGGTTTCACAGAGCCACGGTCTGGTGAGAATGTTTGTTTCACTCCTTCCTCCCAGCTCTGCTCCTAGAGAGCCAGAATGGGCAGGAGAGAGGAAGGAAGAAAGGGAGAGAGGAAGGAAGGGAGCGAGAGAGAGGAAGGGAGCGAGGAAGGGAAGGAAGGGAAGGAAGGGAAGGAAGGGAAGGAAGGAAGGGAGGAAGGAAGGGAGGCGGTTCAGTTGCCACCTCTGAAATTCTCAGGTATTTTACATGCAGATAGGTCCTGGCAAAAACATAAAGGGAGCGGAAGGAAGGAAGGAAGGAAGGAAGGAAGGAAGGAAGGAAGGAAGGAAGGAAGGAAGGAAGGAAGGAAGGAAGGAAGGAAGGAAGGAAGGAAGGAAGGAAGGATGAGGGAGTCTCTTGTTTTTCTGTGGCATCAGAAGCTTGAGGAGGAAGAGGAGAGCAAAAGAAGTCCTGCTTGGAAGGCCGTGTCTGAGCTGCACAGCATCGCACTAGCACTTGGGCTCCTTTCCTGTCTCGCACTTCTCTGAATCTGATCTTCCCTCAATAAATTGTTCTAGCAATTTTTTGTCACCTCTGGCATTGGGCATCACGGTATAGAAGGTCCTGGAGCTAGTTCTCCTCCCAGCAGAAAAGCTGTCCTGTGGCTCTTACCAAATTCAGTCTTTCAGAGGCTGGGCAAGATGGAGAGTCCGAAGGCTGGAAGCAGCCCTTGGCTGAAAAGGGGCCGGGAATGCGAGGCTTCGGCGTGGGAATGCTGCAGGCGGGAGCGCCGGCTCCCGGAGGGGCCCAGGGGAGGACAGGAGACCGCACGGCTCCGCGTGAGCTACTGACCCAAACCAGCCCCGGGGCCTCTGCGCAGGCGGCTGCGCCGGAGCTCCACTGCAGCTCGCAGGAGTCCCGTGAAAGGCAGGAGCTGAGCTTCATCTTCCTAAAATACATGAGGTCCCAACCTCGACATTGTCATCCAGCTTAGCCTGAGACCTTGGGATGGCTATTTCCTTTCTCCCATTTAAGCTCTCTGTGCCAGCCTTTGTTCCAGGCCGTTACCGCGTGGTTCCTGCCGTAAGGTTCATGAGCTTTTCTCCGAGGAGCACAGAGCTGCTCAGAGCTTCCAGATCCGCCACTAACACGGAGGTTTTTCAGACACAAGTTTGCAAAAGCAATTTGGATTTCTCTTCTTGTAGTGTCAAGCACTCAAGTCTAGGCAAATGTTCAAAATTTTTAGTTTTAGTGCCTTAATTTTCTTTGCAACACGTGGATGTGAGGTGGGAATGCGGCAGCAGGCAAGGACAGTGCTGATGCTGAGGAGACACCAAGGAAATCGAGCGAGACCAAAATCTGCACCACTCTCCAGACAGAGAGGGCTGAGAGGCCACATGGGCTGTTCCCTCTTTAAGTCTCATCCTTGTTCGAGTCTCATTCCACACCCAAAACAGACAGCAAGGCAGAAGGATGGGTTTTTAATGTTTTTATTTACTAAGGTTTTTATTGTGTTTTATATTGCAAACCCCACCCCTCGAACTCTTCCCTCCCTTCCCCACAAAATAAAGCAAAAAAAAAAAAAAAACCAATAATAATTGTCATAGTTCCACCTACCGAGACAAGCCTAGTGTTGACTGGGGTCCAGTCAGAGTAACTCAATATTGGCTACTGCACCGCTAAGGACTGGAAAACCAAACAATATCCCCATGAAAACCAAAGCAAAGGAACCCGAGCGAATGAAGGATGTTGGGTGGCCGGGAGGAGCGTCCCACTGAGATGGCCCTCGAGGGGCCCTGGGGGTGCCTGAGTGTCCACAGGCGCTGCTGGATTCGGGAGCAATGCGGCCCTCACGGGACACTGCTCCAGGAGGGCTGGGCATGGCCGAGCTGACGACTTTTCCTACCCGGTTGGATTGCGCTTCCCGAAACCCCAAGCCTTGCTCCCAACCTCCTGACATGCTCCGTCCAGGGGGGCCACCGGCACGCGGGGAAACGGGACTGTCAGCGCAAGGGTTAAACCAAAAAGATCTTCTGAGTGTCCCTTCTCGGGACTGCCGGCTGCCCCGGCGGACATGAGGGCTCTGCGGATGGGCTGCCCTTCCGTTAATGAGCGGCTGTTCCGAGATGCACCTGTACATGTCGTAGAAAAGCAGGATCTGTACATTATAATCACTGCTGCCAATCGGTCCTACAGGAGGGTCAAAACTGACATGTATTTTAAAAGTAGGAGATATATATATATTTATATATATATATTAATATATGTGTGTGTGTGTGTGCTTCCACAGGTGCATAAATAGTTTACATATGTGTCTAACTGTATATTATATATATAAAAGTATGTGCGTGTACATATATATGTACCTATACACACACACACACACACACACACACACACACACGTACACACCCCCCCCACACGCGCTCACCCACAGAGAATTTTATGTAACTAGTAGAAAAAAACGGTTCTAGATTTCCCGTACCCCTTTAAGGAAGACCAAAGCTGATTACATCTGAATTCCGAGCCACAAAAGCACCAGGGATCAGGAACGCCCATGCTTGCAGCAACATTCAAGATACAGGCACATGTCAGAGTTTTGCAAACAATTTGGTATAAAAATCAGCCGCCAGCCAGTGTTTTGGAGGGGACGGAGGCGCAGGGCACCACAAGGCCCTGTTGTCACCGTGACTGTTTTGGCACTGCTGCAGGGAGCCCAGCTCTGCCCCGGCTGCCTGGACGGGCTCTGGGGGCACTGGGAGCACAGGCAGGCTGTATGTGAGCAGTTGAGACCTCACTGCTCACAGGGAGGTGCCAGAGACGCCTGTCGGGCTAGGGAAAAAAGGGGGAAAAAAAAAAAGGCAAAATGGAAAGAAGGGATTGGAATAAAAGGAGACATGTGCTCTTGAGGTAAAAGCTTTCCGCTGTGTGCACCCAATGGCCCCTTTCTGTCTTCTTCCCACTTGAAATCCCTTAAATCAGGGGAGCCCCAAAAATCCATGCCAGGCCCCTGCCATGCTCAAGGATCATGCCAGGCCCCAGATGTGTCCAGCAATGCTGCAAGTGCAGGGCAAGACCGGAGCCAGCGCAGGCTGTTATTGCTGGTGAAATCAAGCAAACAATTTCAGTTCCCCCATCAGAGGAGAAACGGACTGCGGCTGGCCAAATTGCTGGGTCAAATCTTTTTTAATGGCATGCACATAGCTGCAAATCTGAAGGATTTTTGGCTGGGCTCCAGCAGAGCCTCAGAGCTCAAACTCCCCTGGGCTAAGGAGGAAGACGGAGGGGGCAAGTGCACCCCGTTTTTGAGTTTATGCTCCCCCGTTCTTTTCAAAGCAGTCAGCCCATGGACACTGAGACATGAAAGTTGAGCGAGGTTAAAGCGCTGTCTCGTTCTTCATCCCTCCCCTTCTCCTCCTGCAACCCACATCCAGGACACTTACGGAAATACAGCAGGGGTATTACAGCCCTCCCTGTGACTTACAAGTATTATTTCTTGTCCCCTCTAAAGGGACAAGATGAGAAAGAGCCCAGCACCCGCAGTCAGGCCTGTGCATCACCTGTGTCTTCTTCAGATGGAGTCCGACAAAGAGGCAAACAAAAACTCTGCCCTTCTGCATCCCTGGAGGGGACTGCGTCACTGAAGCTCACCCCTCTTCTGGCCTCCTGTGCCACCTGCTGAGCACAGGGGGAACCCTGCGAAGAACTGGGACGTCCCGACATGGCCGCGAGGCGCCCATGACCCCAACACAGGGCTGGGCGCCGCGGCTGGCGCTGCGTGGTGCGAAGCTGCGGCCACCGCGGCTGTCCCGACACCAGCCGGGGCCCCGGCCCGGCACTCCCGCTGGGGCCCACGTCAACCTTGGATCATTGTCTCAACAGGAAAAATCGCTTTTGGTGGCTTCTATGGCTGATCATTCACGTGTTCCGGCTCAGGCACACGCTTTGTCTGTGCGTTACCTCATTGGATTAAATTTTCCGATATCCTTTTGCTGTATGTATTAAAATATTCTATAAAATCAAGTGACCAAAAATCTATAGCTCTAAGAATACCTGGTTATCTTCTTTTTTTGTTCTTTTTTTGTGTTTTTGTTTCTTTTTTTCTGTTTCTTTTTTTGTTTATTTCTAACAGTTGAACCTAAAGAAAAGATATGTGAAAAAAAAAAGAGAGAAAAAAAAAAGGGAAAGGAAAAAATGATTCATGAAAGTCTAATCAGGAACTGAACTGTGCGGCCGATATAACCAGCTTCCAGAGGAGTCCTCACAAGTTGGAGGGCAGTTTGGACCTGACGGGCTCCAGGTCCCCGCTGAGCACGAGGGATTCTTTCCGCCCGCTGGCAGCGAGGGCAGCAGTGCCCGCGGCGCCGGCCCCAAAGGCCAGCGGATGGGGTAGGGAACCTGAGGACATCTGGCGCGGCAGAGTCACGCGGCCCGGAACCGAGCTACAGGGCTTCCCGAAGAGTCCCGTCCCCGCGCCCGGGAAAGGCGAGAAGCTGGACACGGATTCCCTGGAGGAGTGGGGAGAACTGCGGCTCAGCGCCTGGGCCAGCTCCTGCGGCAGCGACGGCTGGGAAGCGGAGATGAGCTTGAGGTCCTGGCTGAGGCGGCCCGGCGCATTCCTGGGCTGCGGGAGCGGAGGGGCCGGGCTGGCCGCCTGCGACAGCAGCAGGGATCCGTGAGAGCCCGAGGCCCCCGCAGGGCCGCACTGGAAAGTTCTTGTTGCCACTGGGCTCTGACTAGGAGGACTAAGGCCAGAAGGGGTATAACACGGAGACGCCACACCGGGTGGTTGTAGCGGAGACATGGAGGCAAAAGGTGACCTTTCTTGGTGCAGCTGGGCTATCGTTCCAGTTAAAGATCCTAATGCACTTGGATGGGGTTGGCACAGGCTGGAGGAGGCTCCCCCAGACGCCTGGGCCAGCTGGCTTAGGCTGGAGGACGGAGAATTGGAGGAAGGAGGGGGTTGGAAGTGGTGAATTCCCCCCAAAGTGCCAGTGCCTGAGAGCTGCTGTAATTGTCCCCCCTGCAGCGGCCTCGTGGTGGGCTGGAACTGGTTGAGAAGACTGGGGGGTGAGTTTGAGGAGAGCTGGGTGAGCGATGGCGACGGGGAGCTACTGGTGGCCTGCTGGAAGTGCCCAAACCCACTGCTGGAAAGGGGCTGCGGCTGTGGCTGCTGCACGGGCTGCCCTGTCCCTA